ATCAGCATGGAACTGGAGTAGAAAAAGATGAACAAAAGGCAGTTGAATTGTATCAAAAAGCAGCTGAACAAGGAAATGCTGATGCACAATGTACTCTTGGTGTGTGTTATCAGTATGGAACTGGAATAGAAAAAGATGAACAAAAGGCAGTTGAATTGTATAAAAAAGCAGCTAAGCAAAAAGATGCTTATGCACAATACAATCTTGGTTTTTGTTATCAGTATGGAATTGATGTAGAGCAAGATGATAAAAAAGCAATTGATTTATATGAAAAGGCAGCTGAACAAGGATTTAGTGCAGCTCGAAATCAGATTTATAATATTTATTTCTCCAATGATAAAATCTTGAAAGAGAAAAAAATACAAGAAGTGACAGAATTTTATCACAAAAAAAATCAATTGTAAAAGGTTTTAGAATTCAGTCATTTGTGCATCAAAAATAGACTATGCTGATTTAAAGGCTGCTGGCTATTAATATTAAAATGGTTCAGAATGTTATTATTGTGTTGTCTGACAATTAGATGAGCAAGTCACATGGTAAAATTTACCCTGACATCAAACTAATACTAACTTATGATCAACTAATTTAAATTGGTGCTACCATAGTAATAGGGAAATTCTACCCTTGCCATAATTGGACGCTTTCCTCGTCATGTGCCATAATAGTGACGTTTTCTCCACGAATAATGGGTTACTCAAACCGTTTATTATTATAGGTTTTCGCGGATAACGGCTACTTTACATCGAATTAATAACCCAACGTATATTTAATCTATATAATTAGATCATTAATAGACAACTATTTAGTGAAATGATTGAAGCTGTATAAGCAGTAGTGCTAACATTATCTTCAGCTCATCATTAGATTCTCATGCTTGGATCTAAACATTCCTTCCGAATACTCGTACTATTAGTTTAGCCTTCATATTCATATAACAAAATAATATACTTACTGGACCTTAAAATACCCTGGCCACTCTAATGATTTTGCAGCTGTAACTGCAGGTTCGAATCTTGAATACGATTGTTAATAAACACGGTTTACTTTAGAATCTTACCGATTGCATACTTCATAGTCAGAATCATAACTCAAACTGCTTCTATGTTATAATTATTCCCCGACTATCGAAATTAATCCTATCGATAGAGGGTAAAGTTATAACTGCAGTGTAGTTAACAATCGAGAATCTGCGTATACGAGATCAAACGTACGAATCAAACCCAATTTAAGATCACTAACTGTATTGGCAATTTAAGCAAGAGTAGAGGCCTCGATCGAAAGAGCTGCCAATTACTGAACGCTTCCCGCAGTAATTGGCTCGACACATGCATATGTTTTTCATAATTAAATTTTCCCCTTAAACCTGATATAGGCGTAGCGAGAACGCGTGGAAAATGTCTGCTGCAAATAGTCATCAATCATCAGTGAATTTCAGGTTCATTAGACAGTGACAATTTTATGATAATAAAAATTTTCTTAAGATTTAAATTGCGTTTACTTCTAAAGAGTCTAAGAGTTGGTATGATTCGGACTATCGAATAGAACGAAAAATTTGAAAGATATTGGAGCGTAATTATGCGGATAGTCATGATCTAGACTCATAACATTCTTATTGATAACATACTGTATAAACTAAAATTCAGAGCGTGACGCGGTAATGACAATTACCAATCGAAGTTAGCCCTATTTTAAACTTACCAACAACTATTAAATTATTGTTTCTATTAATCGTTGGTAGGTTATAAACTACGTATACGCGATTAAGCGCGCAACAAATAATTAAATCGGTCAGTCGAAGCATAGTTCAGTCTTAATTGAACAACTACCGGAATAAGGTCAGTAGTATGAGCTAAGCTTGTAACATCCTCCCGGTTGGTGAGCGAAAGATAATATTATTCTCCCATCACAATCATATCAAAATACATCGTGCACAAATACCTGACGCTGTACGATACTACGATTGCAGGCCAACATGAAAAGTTTGTGAGCTCTTTCAATGCATAGCATATCTCTTCGCATTTCTAGATAAAGAGACAAATCAGTTATAGTTAACATTCTCCTGACAATTCGTAATACAATGTCTACAATACTCCATAACACGAGCAACATTAGTCAACCCGAGTCAGTTGTATCCAACTCCCTAAATTCCGCCGTTTCGTCAAGCTGTGCTTCTCCTCCCTTTCCGCAAGTCAATTGTTTCAGCCATTGTCCGTTCAATTAATGACGTTTTTGTTACTATAATGGGAACCATAAGCATTTGACATTAAATTAATATCAATGCGCAGAAACTTTGCAATTGTTATTTTAAAGCGGGTAAATTATACCAGAATATTGCGATTATGCAGTGATCGAGTATTTTATTAACGGAAAAAATCCTCCCGCGAAACATTTTTACCAAAGTAAGATACAGGCTATACACATTAACAAACATTAACAGACTTTTTTTTTATTGTTATAATCTCTATAATTGCAATTGCGGGTACATTCAAATTTGGATTGAAATGCCGAATTAATTAGCCCTTGGCACGCTTATCGGTTTAATGGATAAACAATAAACTATGACGTAATCATGCGTAAATAATCTTTTACATGTTCCCTTGATATTTTTGTTGCAATTGTCGTCGTTATCATACAGATATATTTGGAAAAGATAAACGAGTTTCTGGAACATATTTTGCCGTCTCCTTAAACTATATTGTATGTCAAACAATATTGAGATTAATAGTCTTTGTTGGCTCTTTTTTCTTAGTATCAACCCTGAGCATATGCCTCAAAATGGCATCATACAAAAAAAGGTTCGGCATTTCACAACATGCTGATTACATTGTAACGGTTCACAGCATTGTACATTATCAATTTTTTAGCAAACCTTGTGAAAATTACAAATAGTAGCACTTCTGACCAATGTCCTGCCAAGACTTGTCCATGAGACTTTCGGCCATAATGACTATTAAAAGCCTGTCTCTTGTAAAGTTTGGAAATATCGTAATCTTTTTCCGCAGTAAAAAAATCAGCCAAATGTCCTAAATTCAAAATTTGGATTGAAATTCGATATTTGCTAAACAATTACCAAATTTGGCACGAAATGGTAGATTGAACAAGGCCGTTTGTTTTGCAACATGCGAATCAATTATTATTATATAATTCATTTACAAAGAACCAAGTGTTCCTGTTACCACGGAATTTTATCGTGTAACGGAATTACAAGTGCAACCAAAATAAATAATAGACCAATGATGAGACTTTTTAGTTTTTCCCATTTTTGATAATTTTCCATAAATTTATTCATACTTTTTGTATTTGGATTCTTGCGACTATCCACAAACTGTGTCTAGACTCACAAAGAATCGTTGATATTAGTTGATGGGAATCTGAATCGAATAAAATGGAAGGAGAGAGAGAAAGAGCGAGAAGAAAGGAAAATACATATGTATAATGTATATCAATAAAGCAAATATGAACGATTAAGGGTAGAAAAATATACACGAAAGTAGGTTAAATTACAAGTGTGAAGGGTAAAAAAAAAGAGACCGAATTGGGGTTCAACATTACAGAGTTACGCGGGGAATACATTATTCTCTCTCTCCTATAGAAAAAAAAAAGCTTGAATATAAAAGATATAATAAGACTACAAGACATGTCCACACACATATAGTTGCAAAGAAATATCGTCCATACTATATATGTTATGACAGTTCGGACATGCTTGGGTGATATATAAAAGAATTTACAAGAAATATATAAAGAGGTACAAAACAAAAAAGTTCTATCCATGGTTGACGACAACCCAAACTCTATATCTCTCAATCCTCTCGTAGGTACCAACTGCTGTTCATCACCTCAGCAATATCGATTCTCTGCTCCGGCTTTGGCTTGAACATTCTCCTTAACAAATCTTTGCAATCCTCAGACACGTTCGCTTCATCTAGTAAACTCTCGTCAAATCTACCGTTGATAATCTTGAGTTGCAATCTCGGCTGGAAAACATCATTGAACGGCAGCTGACCCGTCAACATTGCATACAACACAACACCCAAGCTCCAAATGTCCAGTTTAGCATTACAGATAGAAGTGTTTGATCTCAATTGTTCAGGTGCACAATAAGCCAAAGAACCACCGGCTTCGTTGTTGCTCGAAACATCGCCGAACCCATTGGCATCCGTGTTTTGAAACTCGGTCAAACCGAAATCGCCTAGCTTCCATACACCATCTCCACAGTAGAGAATATTGTCGAGTTTGATGTCCTTGTGGACCAATCTCATGTCCTTGTGCAAATATCGAACAGAAGACGCTAGTTGTTTGAATATTTCACGCGCCATCGATTCGGGTATTCCAGACCTGTGATTCTCGGTTTCAAACGACTTTATATAGTTCAACAGAGTACCACCCGAACAGTACTCGGCAAACACAAAAGTGGCGTAATCGGTCTCCTCAACGGATGTCATTTTCACCACGTTGGGATGATCCAATGCACGCCAGATAGCAATCTCGCGTTCCAAGAGTGCTTGAATACGATCGTTGTCTGCACTTTCAGGATTGTTTCTCACAATCTTGACGGCAAGTTTGTCCATTCCGTCGTATGCCTCTCGAACAGTAGAAAATCCTCCGCGACCAATGACTTTTCCAAGAATGTATTCTCTGACTTGTTGTCCTTCGTCGTCAGGAAGAGGAGTCTTGACCGTTGCGTCGGCCAAGTTGGATAAAAAGGAGACAGCCGGAGACCATGGGACAGACGAATAAGAATCGCGAGTAACGGCGGGACAGGAGAATGAATGATGCGATAACCTGCGTCGATCCGAGGATGGATTTTCGACACTGATTGATTTTGCTTTTGGTCTGGCAGACTGTGATGAATGGTTTGATGCTAGCGAGTTTGTATTTGTCGTGTTTTCGGTAAACGGGTTATTTTGAAAGCCTTGCGGGAGATATGACGTTGTAAGAAAAGGAGATGATCGAGAGGAAATATTTGAAGGTGAACTAGAGTATAGAGAATCTTGGTATTGGTCAGAGTAGGCGTCATGAGATTTGTCCATCATGGCAGTTGCTGGTGTCAGAGCACCTGTAGAGTTTAAAGAGGATGTGGATGAGCATGGGGAAAGAGATGGAGTCGCATTCATTATGTTGCTGGTAAGGTTGCTGGAGGACGAATTTCCAGTTGTCTGTTTATCGTTACTCATGCCTATTCCATTAAAACCTCCGCCACTAAGAGTACCGCTGATGGGTTTCGCGTTCAATGCATGTCTACCGTCATCGGTTGGATTATGTACAGTGACAGACAAGAGGGGATTGGTATTTGCGGGAGCGGAGAAGTAGGCGGCGTAAGGTTTTTGGTCGGACGCTGATGCGCGTCTCATAAACGGAGTGTTGTTTACGCGTAATTCTTGTGATTGCATTTGGCGACCAGAACCAATGTCTTGTGGCGATAACGTTAAAGATGAATTGGTCGATTGTGTTGGTTCGTCGGTAGGCATGTCAATTGCGAATCTTACGGCGTGGACACCGGGTTTCAATTGTTCTCCCTTGTATTTATCGGATAGTGGATGGGATATTTTAGGACGTTTGATATGGGTTCGTGTTAAATCTTCTTTTTGGAAATGGCACAGCTTGTGATCTTGCGATTGTTGTTGCGGCCACCATGCTTTTGGTTCACAATTGGGTGGGGTGTGGACGGCATGAGGAATAATTCTGCCAACGGCATGCGAAGCAAAATTGGTTGGTTTTACTTCTGAATTTCCATCATTGCTGTTGCTGTTGTTGTTGTTGTTGTTGTTGTTGTTAGTAATGCTGTTGTCGTCGATGTCGTTGTTGATAATCTTGTTTCCGTTGTTATGCTGCCATCGACGCACATGTTGTGAGGACGAGGCATTGTATATATGGGTATCGATTTTTAGTCTTGGTTGTTCTCTGAGCTTTCTTCTGGCGACTGCAGTCTGAGCAGTATGAGAAGTGAGGGGGGATTCAGGACGAGCAAAATTAAGCGAAGAGTTGTTTAGTATGTCCAAGTCGTGGTGGTGCCCTCCCAGTAGGTGCGAATTGCTAAACCGAGAGTAATTTTGTTGCCAAAGACTCATAACAATACTTAGTGGTTGGCGAGTAGGGTTATATTATGTACTGTTTGAATATGTACAGTTGCGTGTTCTTCTTGTTGTTCTTGTTATTGCTTTTTTTCCTTTTTTTTTGCTTGTTGTTTTGTAAAAAAAACCCAACTTTGTGAGTGTATGCTTATATATACTCTCGAGTGTATTGGGTTTGTATTGAATTCTGGTATTAAATACGTCCTATCAAAAGACTAATTGTATGTTTTGAGTGGATGCGAGTTTTGTTTGCAGTTTTTATTTGACTAACACCAAAGAGAAAAAAGTCGAAGAAAAAAAAATCGACCTGCACAGATAACGATAACTCTGATTTTTATATTGGCACATGTAACAATTTATACTGGTTTATTATAAATCTGCTTAATGTATAATCTATGTTGTGCATCTTGTTATTTATGTTATTAATTGTTTATTTACATAGATGTTGATTGGTTGGTACTTATCTTGATCGTTGAATTGACGTATACTAAATAGACAATATAAATTATGTACATTAATAACGGATATTGTAACACATGACATCGTAATAAAATAACGATTGTCGATGTCTCCCTTATTCTGTTGTTCTAATAACAATGTAACTCACATTGAATGCAAAAAAGTCATATTATGTTATATTAGCTCCGTTCTCCATAAACGACCACATGCACATGGCAATCGATACATGCACATGTCTATGAAAAAAGAAAGCAAGAAAGAAAGAACAACAACAAAAAAATAACAAATATGCTGCGGCTCATACAATACAATACGTGAACCTAGTAACCAGTGACTTGACCTTTGTTATTACGGCGGGTATGGATGCAGGCCCCCATGACAGCAAGACTTTTTGTATGTATGCACGCACGCATTATTTATTATTTATTCTCATTATTAGTTATTGTTCTACAGTATGTGTAGTATGTGTAGTATGTGTAATATGTGTTATAGTTTGGCAACGGCCAACGGCCAACGATCATCTGATCAACTCTTAGAGTTACTCGTATCATAATCAGGAACATTTATACAATACTGCATATATAAGGAGATGATTAGTCGCCTACCTTGGAACAGATAACGCACAGTAGGTTACCCAAACCCATCGCAGACTTTGAGATATGCCTTATTAGTCACGTATCTCAATTTGAGTTATCATTAAATAGAAAAAAAAGAACGAATATATTGATCATTCCAGATAAACATGCATATGCGGGTGATGAATACAAACCCAAATCATATCAATAATAAGATATGTTGTGCGCTAAAATGTGATATTCAGCATTCCGTAATTTCCGAATTATATATCACACTCAATCAGCCGGTGCAACGTTACACTCATACATATGTATTTATACTAATACAATAATAATAAGCCATACAATAACAATAAGCGTTACCAATATTACCCATGCCATGTTATCTGTGTTACCTATGTTACCTGTGTTACCTGTGTTACCCACTGTTACCCAATGTTACCCAATGTTACTCATGTTGCTCGTGTTACTCATTCACCATTCCAATCATCACTCTGCACTTTATCAATGATTAGATCTCCCCCACCAAGCGCCCTCCCCCAAACGCCCGTCGTCCTTTTTAGTTTTACTCACGCTATGCTCATCAATAGAATTCAAATACGGAAAGACTCCACAACTACGAAAAGCAACACATACAAATATGTCTAATGATACATATGATGTCACCAACTTGCCATGAATGGATGTAATAAAATAAAGCCTATCCATCAGTTGATCCAAATCTTCTATTTCTTTGACCCTACGTCCGGTGATGTCCTATTTGGTTTCTCAAGCTCGCTGATTGGTTTTCACTGATCGATTGCTTTTTCACGATCCTCATCAATTTGCTACTTTTACTCTCGGTTGCTCTTACTCCTTTTTTAATTCTTGGGGATTTTCAAAAGAAAGAGATGTCGATGATGTACACCCCGCCCCCGCCACCCCCTCTTCGACTAATGTTGATCAAGCGCAGCTAAAGCAACAATTTATTGTGCGTGTGGGAAGAATACTATTTTTGAAATGGTCATGTATTAAAGAAAAATCGTGTTCACGTGTCACGGACAATCTTACGACTGAGCGAAAACTCCAAGGTCGTTGTCAATCTTCAAACCGGCCGACGTCCCGTAGATGTTCATCTTCAAAGCGTCATCCCTGCTGATCTACACCATTTTCGATTTTCTTTGTTCATGTTGCAGATAAAAGGTGGACTAATATTGCACTATCAATGAGTTCCATGTGTAAAAAGAAATGATAATGCGCGCTCTCACTAACTTGTGGTTTTATCGATTATAGCATCTAATGTTTATAATCTCCAGGCGCACCAAAACAACTGTTCTATTAGTAGTTAATTTATCTGAGCGATATTTTCCTAATCGGCGGCTAAAGCTTACCTCACAGATGCCAAAGATGATCGCCTTCCGGGTTGGCTTATTTCAGATCACAAAATGTGTATTCCTCGAATGATTGCAACCGGAGATTGCATCCTCCAATAGTCATCGCTTCCGCAAAAATCGCTCGTTTTTCTTTCCATGAAAACCCACCGCCTCGTGCGAGTTTATTGACACATGGCAACTAAACCTTCGCAACTCTACTCTTAATTTCTCGTGCGATTGCGCGATGTTACAAATACACATGTCAACAGATCGTGTAGAAACGGTAAATTTTGAAATACAAACACTTACAGCCCACATTGTTTCATTTTGCAATTTATTCTGGAAAATTATTACATCGACATGGCGTAAAATGAATTAATAATTGTCTATCACCACTTTATGTAAATTCGGTCATAGACATCAACAATGTTCATTTTGTGGGGATATGTTTGCCTCAAAATTCTGCCCACTTGCAAAACGCCACATCTTACCGCGTTTGACAGATAACAAATTCCCCCCATACGTTCAGGTTATTGACAATACGCCAGACCCGACAAGATCGAGATGTCAACATCGGGCTTTCTTCCAAATATAACATTGTCCGTTCGTGGTAATAACAAGAATTAGTTTGCAAGATGTTTTCGGTAATCTAAATTTTCACTAGCAGGTTAGCGACCAAATGGTTTTTTGGTGAACGGACGATTGAAACATAAAAATGGGAATGATGAGAAAAGTCAGGGTAAAACATCGGATGACCAAAATGTAGATATGATAAGCAAATCTGATAGACTAAAAGTTGGCTGGGAGTGTTATTTGAGATAAACGAGAGTATGAATCGGCTTGAACAATGAAGTCTTTACGAAAAATATTGTTATGGTTAAAGACTATTACTATGAACGTTTGGGAAGCCAAATTTATGATCAAAAAATTGATGAACTAAAATTGTACAAGCCGATCGATTATATAGTCTGCATATTGTAGATAATGTTAATACAAGCATCGCTTGAATATATCAGGTGATTAATACAGCGCACCTTTTCAAATTGAGGATAGAAAACATCACGTACGGTTATACAATGTGAATTCTATTAATAGAATTAATAACTTCTTTATTTTTTTTCATTCTCCTTGGTATTTTCAACTGTTTGTTCTTATCTAGTACGATGTTCCATGGTATGTTGACTGTGTTTCAATGAGAGGGATGGCATAGTGTGTTGACTGTGTTGCAATGAGAGGGATGGCTAACGCCGATACATTCTTAATCTGACTGACTGCGTTGCAATGAGAAGGATGTTGATACTATTATTATCTGTACAGGTCAATCCCACACCATATTTAGGTTTTCGACATGAATTTCTATTTATAGTGCCATTTTATAACCACCATGACGAGCAAAAAGCATTAACCGAGGAATCCATGACTCCGAAAAGAAAAATTGTCGTATTTGGTAATAAAACCTGTAGCTCAAAATAACGCATTTGATGTGATAACAGCAGTCATATTAGGCATAGTCTGCAAAAAATTCGGCATTATCGATACCTTCAAAAGTAAGTTTCATTCCTATTTACCCGTTCATAATTTTTACTAATGTAGATATATCTTAGTCTAACTCGAAATATGCTTCTTAATCCGTATGACAAATAATAATGTGATCGACTATGAGTCAGCTGGTGGGAAGAGATAACGAATGATGATCACATCAGCCGATTTTTGATAAGGCGTAATGAATATATTATAAAAGGATGTGATGTTTCGATATTATATAATTGTATTAATAATTAATATGGAGATGGGCGTGCTTGTTGTCAAAGTGAGCATGTGACATTACCAGTGGCTCGGGAATCAGGAGCAAGAAAACAACGTGACGTTTACCTTACGCACGCGCTCCTTCATTCATACCCACAGTCAGGTTCGAGAACCCATTCGATAATTTTTTTTCGTATGCGGTCGAAACTAGCTATTACTATTTTTGCGGTTTCCCATTCTCATGACCTTTTTGAAAATACTTATGTTCCGTATTCAACAAGGAAGTTATTGAGATCTAAACGGCATGCGCTTTCATGGTCGATGTGCGGAAAATGTCAAGAGTTGGATATTTTTAAGTTTACGGTTTAACCACAACGAATTGGTTGAGAGATATGATCGAGTGACTGTCCTGCCTAAACAACATTTTTTAGATGCAGACTTACCTTATGTGAGCCCTTTTTATCCTTTTAACTTGCACAAAAGATCCCGGAAACTATGCTGTTTATCAACTTCGAGAAGAAATGGATGGCAGTCATTCGAATTGAAAGCAACTATACAGTAAAATTCACTTTAACGAAGATCGCTTTATAACGAAGTTCTTTCCAGAACGGATTCATATATTTCATACAAAAAGACAGTTCACTTAAGCGAACTTTCAGGTTAACGAAGCAAAAAATCGTGGAACGAATGTCTTCGTTAAAGTGAATTTCACTGGGTAGTGCAGAAGAGATCGAGAGCATAAGTCTAAGGGGAATATGCGGATTCATCACGGCAAAGGGCCATACTGACAAAGTGTTGTACCTCAGTTGGGGACCTGTCTCAGTTCTGGACAGACAACTGGACTGAGTGACTGGGTTCTGAACGGGTGACAGGTCCCAAACAACAGAGATGATGCAACACATTATTTTCCCAAAAGTTGTTTTTGGTACGGATGCAAGCATGTTCTGGTGGGCTTCGCGTGAGAAAAAGCATCATTTATCCCTAATATACTAAGAGGATTTTATGCATGGCTATATATATATATATATATAGAGAGAGAGAGAGAGAGATATGCTTGTTGTATAATCCATGTTTCCTCCTGTTTTGATTTTGAAAAGAAATCGTGTTCTAATAAATTTGCTTATATATATATATATTTTATATCGCTGAAATTCGAAGACTTTTTCGGTCTTTAATGATTGAATTAGGTTACAATCTTTAACGCGTTTATTGATTCTTCGTTAATATAAAGTTGCTTTTAGAATCCAAGTGGTAACCTCTAACTTAATTCACTTGAAAGATAATGAAGACCTAGTCGTTTATTAATTAGGTCATAATCGTGACCCGGAAAATATGCCCTACCAAATTTTGATACCATCATTGCAGATACTATTCAGTAATCTTTTCAAACTTTGAATGTTTAAACTTCTGCCCAATAACTTTCAGCCGACCCATCAGGTGCCGTATCAGCTCTTTGGCTTTCTTATCTGGGCGAACGCACGTATCCGGTCACAACAACGAATACCATGTGTGTGAGATTAATGTTATGTTGAAAGTCCAGTTATTGTCAAGCATATTTCGCTGACGTTTAACATTTAAGCTCTTTGCTTGCTTTGAAATAGAAGCGATTAACTTCTGTAATTTAACATAAACATAGAAATGGTGACTAAATCAAATTTATTTATGCTTGCCTGTTAATTAGCAATGGTGCTAACAATCCGAAAACAATTTAATGCCAATTCTATTTAAATGGTTGTAAAGTCGAAAACGAAATTGATATACGTTATATTATTGTTAGAAATGGGGAGATTTGTATTACGCTTTTTATGCGTCTTACTATGACATACGTAGTATACCATCATACACTTGATAGCAAACGAATCGGAAACAGAGATTTTAGATTGCCCATATTCCATTTAAACATTAGAAAAACAGAACTATTTCTTGTTAACACGTTCGAGTTACACATATCTTAGAAGGAATTTTGAAATTTCGGTCAAGTTTAGCTTTTAACAAGTCGCTTCTACGACAGAGTATGAAATACAATATGCATAATCTCAAGCTATTATGTTACGAGAAATATAAACACGAACAGACACGCGGTAGCAAGTCATGTAGATCTTTACTACTGGTGAATACATTACTACGATGGAGCAAAGAATTTGACACCAAAGTCAATATTAAAAACACTCGATTTGCTTCATATGCGACTGTCATTTATTGAGTAACAGGATTAAGTTTAGCCAATCGGATGGTTTTATTACGTTTACTTTAATCAATAACATGGCAACTAAATTATCATTCCTGGGCTGAGAAAAAGCTTACTAAACGTGCGCGTGCATTAATTATAAGAGTCTCGTGTACATGTAAAGTCATTACAAGTGCTATTTACACAGAGGACCTCAATATTAGTGTTTAAAGACATTCTGCCTAACTAAAAACGTAAAACTAGACAGTGAGAATACATTTCTGGAAAAGCTGTTAAATATTATTTAACAACGAATTTCTCGATATGCATAGGCAAATAAACCGAAATGGTTAATCACCCAACTAGTCCAACAAAATAATAATAAGCCTAATCCGGTAAATATTGAGAAAGATCGAGTAACTTTTTGGGAGATCGCCTTCTTTTACAACATCAATAGACTTCTCGCCAACTTAAAATGACTACTCGAGCGAAACAGTCTTGCTCGCTTTTTGTAATCTACCCAACCGTAACAATTACTCAATCAGGCAATCCATATGCTCTGTTACCAAGAAGAAAATGAACTAAACGTGCCATTCTGCATCACGCGAGGGACAACACCATAAACAGTAAGAATTTGGCATATCCGACAAACTTAGCTCCTAATGCCAGTTCTGAGTCGATATTACCGATTCCAGTATAGGTTGGGGTTTTTTTCAGCATCCTCAACGTCTAACGTAGGTGTGATAAATGACGCAAAACGCCAATAATAACTTTAAAAGACATGAGCAAAAATTTAACGAACAAATCAGCCCAAACCCAGCAAGCTTTATTAATTACTCAAATTACTAATTTCCAAGAATATGTCATCGTATGCTGCATTATTAAGAATATTGCTATCTAAAAGCGTTCTGAGCATAGTCGGCTATCCCGAAAGTTAAAGAATACCACTTTTCTCTTATTCACCTTTTAGACCCGGGAGGGAGGGCTTTGTTTGTCTAAAACTCTCAAAATGACTAGATAAATATCTGCATGTTACATCGCGCACTACAATTGTTACATATCATGTCGATAGACTTCGTACTATACCAAGTCACTAAACAATTCCAATGCAAGATGCATTCACCCAGAAGAGTATGATAACTGATTACACATGATACATTTATAATAGCTTCTGGTTCAATTGTTCGATTAAGCTTTTAGGAAAACCAAAGTCTCTATTATAAGAAAATCAACTGTAAGTTTCTACAATACAGTGACTCTTCCTATCTGATTTAAAATGCATTTTGTAAGCAATAGACACTTCTTTCGTCACCGCATATGAATAATACATAACGTTCAATTGAAAACACAATAGTGAAAAATATACATGTTTAAAAAAACTTATTATTTACTGCAATAATTGTTGTTGTCAGCCGTATACATTTGCGCACAAATTCCCATCATCAAATGTAAGTTTTTGATAAAATGGTGGCGTCAGTTCGATATCCTGCGCCACCATAATTCCCGCCGAGTTTTTGGCGGAGTGCCAATCAGGGCTCTGATGGCTTCGGGGCCTATTATAAAACAATAAACAAGTCGGATTGCGTTATTATTATGTCAATGTCAAGGTTTTCAAAAGCCAACATCGCAAAGTCAATAAGAAAATACATCGATTTATCATAGTTAAGATTATTAAATAAACATTATACTCACAGACTATAGTGTGTTGGACGGATGTGCTTTTGCGCAAAGTAAATGTCCTTGAACTTTTTATCCAAGTTAGTGAACTTTGTCCCACTTCCTCCGTTAACATTTTCCACCTCAGCGACGAAATTTGGGGGCCCTTGGAAAGAGCCGAGCTGCTCCTTAGTCAGAGTACAATAGACATCCTTGGACGTAATGGGGATCGAATTGTCCGGCTACCACCACGCGTTTCAAAATTGAAGCCTCCTTGAGACGCGGTAATCACGCCGTTCTGACTTGTTTTAATGTTCCAAACTCCAATCTGTCTAACGATTTCAGCAACGACAGTGCTTACACTGAATGTCAAAGTTAACCCCGTTATAGTGGTGGTTAAATCAGCATCACCATCCCCGCCGTTGCAACTAATAACATCAATAAGTCGGTTGCATCATAACAGTCAAGATTGTTCACAGCAGGCTGTCCACCGTACCTCAGGGCTGGATACCTGACTGGTAACTCTCGCAAGCTGTGGCCCGATGCGCTTTCGTTTCAATGATCAATATATCCTACCTTTGGATATAACCAGCGCCTCTTACGAGTCCTCTCCACCAACCTCTCAATAACTGTTATGGTAGGTTATTTAAAAATGTTGCCAAAAGAGGCTCATGCTGAGGGTTCAGGAACGTAAATGAACTCTTTCGCCTGTGGCCTCAAGAATATCAAAGCGTCTATTATAGTTTTCATAGTCAATCAGTATGTATTCATCTTGATGCTCATAAAATGGTAAAGTGACGCTTAGCCAATAAACATATTGCTACGTCCCTCATCATTACCGTAGACACTTACTACGTGAATGAAAGGAGCAAAATTGCTTCACTATTACAGAGAATTAAAGTATTGTCGACCAAGTTACAATCCACCAGGCTTTGCTTCCCAACGTCCCTGAACTCTTTATTCTCTCCCGTTTCCTTTCCGCTTCTTGTTGTTACCATGATGTTCGACTTGGGTATATTTCTTATCAGTGAAGAAAGCCGCGCGCAGAACAAAATAAATAGGCGAGGATCCCGCGTTATTTTTTCTCCCGTGTTATTCCGTCCTCTTTGTGAATCCAAATATCCTCCATGAGAATAAAATCTTATGATATTATAAACTCTTGCCGCTTTGCTAGTTAGTAAAGGATACAAATGTTTACATCTTATAAGTTGTATGTTAGTTAGAGGCAAAGGAGTTTGTGATACGTAACAAATATGGAAAAAGTATAATTTGGGGTTGCATAGGTGACATCACCATACAATTGAAAGGGGGATCAGACATTGCTGTTTGTTGGAATCTCATATATAGAAAAATAGCTAACCTGTTATGTGCATAGGCTTGTCACTGGAAGAGAAACAATAAGGGAACGAACAAAGTCTTGATTATTCAATCATTATTAGAATTTTATAAAGGAAGTGTGTTGATATATTTTATCTAGTCTCTGTCATTGTAAAACAATAACACTTGCCAATTAAGCAGGGTATCTGGTAAAATTGTTACACTGTTTTTGCAATATCTAACTTTAGAACAAAAGGTGTAGACCCCTCCCCTCGTTGGGACAGTTTCTGCACACTTTAAAGATTACTGTTTGAGAGTTTACTTTCTAACTTCTTGCCATCAGACTGGAAACATTAGCACCCTTGCAATTAATCATAATGGTAGGTGTTCTGTCAAGTATTTTTCTGTTCACAAACTTAATTTTTTGTTAATTGTCTTCCAGTTGAAAGGAAAAGGTTGAGGAAAGTGAGTCGTTTATTGTTTATATAAACAATAAACGACTTAGATTAGACTATTATAGTCTCAAGTGTGATGCAGATTGTGTTTTCCACGTCACTCGATGACGTGCAATTTGCGTTTCCTCGTCATAGCAGATGAGACGCTTATAGTCTGCCCATTGGGAAGATACACACACGATTTCCCACTATGGCCTTCCCAAATCGATCGAGAGCAGGCTACGTAATGGTGACTTGATTGATTCTATAGCATCGAGATACTCACTTGGTGCCCTATAAAAGCACAATATTATATATCTTTTATCTGTAATAATTATACCTTGGTGGCCCACTTTTTTATTTGAAATATTACTTATATCGAAAAATCTTGATGGCTCACTTTTTTACTCGAAATGATATCCTCACATGGCCCATCAAAGTAATATTTTTCATAATTGGGAATATATCTAACATTTTCTTGTATAATTGTGTTCTGGCAGTTTTATCCGTAACTCCAGTCTCAAGGCGAATTTTGATAAATTTAATTTCAAAATTATCTGAGTAATTATACCATGCTAAGATTTCTTCATGTTTAGATCGTAACACATAATGAAATAAACAGACTAAAATTTGTTGTAATTTGGAACGTTCGATATTCTGTGATTATACCATAGGGTTGCTACTAAGTAATTCTTTTATTAATCCTTGTTCTATATAACTGACCTTTTTTCATCAGTTTCATTTCACGTAAGCTCGTGACGGCAATTTTTCTTTTTCGCTTACACGATTTTGCTTGGGAGAGATAGAAGTATCTGAAATTAAGTCCTGGGATCGGTCTTCAGCTGATTTACGTTAAAGCTTCTTCTCCCTATTGTGTTGCTTTATCTCGTTACTAACTCTTTCCTTACTTCAAATCCATCGATCTCTTTTGCTCTGGAATCTAAATTATTATGATTATCAAGTAATCACATTCATTAGCGGCTTAATCACATCTATCTCTTCGAAGTACTTACTGAGTTAATCTGTGTCATGAAATCAGAGCAGAGCCCAGACAAAGCGCGTTGATCATGTCAATGCACTAGACATATGTATTGTCTGACAAAATCGCATTTATCATGCAGTCATGTTAAGATTACGAAAAAAAAATAAAGGCCAACTGCCTGACTCGGAAAGAGTCTAAAGTGAAAAGAAGAAAAAAAAGATTACGAAAAAATTATCAGCCAGAGCTACATGTATTGCGAGGGGTCCTAATCATTATCATTGTTAACATGACACCCAATGATATGATAACCGCAACTGCTCAATCTGCTATTATGACATGCTGTGGTCTCATTATAACCAAAATTCTAAAATAGTTATATTAGCAATTACAGCCCATAATACTTTCTAGGGCATTTCAGTTACACATTCTGTAGCTTACGAATTTTTTGGCCTACAAATTTTTATCCCAAGTTTCTGTTCAAAGTGGAACGTATATTCAGTAATTCGTGCGGTTAATTTGTTTACGCGTCTATATCATTGGTCCGAATACAAGTCAACCTCGATAAGTCGGCCAATCTATATAATTTCTCGATAATAATAAGACCTAAGCCGGTCAATAGTTGTATAAGTCGGTCTCACGTGATAAAAGTGTTCTTTCTATTGGTTAAGAACATTGTGTGACAGCAACGATCATTTATATCTAGGTGTCAAATAATAGAATAGATTGTTCTTAGTATTAGAAATAAGAGACTTACAAAATCAAATAAAGAGGAAACAAATTAATTCAATGAAACAAACTACTCTAGATAGTTTTTTTACAAATTATTATTAAATATATTCGGTTAGGTCACTGTCTCGCATCTCAAGAAAGGAGAAGAAGAATAGTATTCCCGTATTGACGCAGACCAACTCGTATTATGGAATGTTAATATCACTGAAAGCAACAAGCGGGAAATACATACGGGAACAAAAATTCGGAGCTATAGAGTTGGACGACGACCTCATTCCTATTGGGGAGTATTTCAATGAAGAACTCGCAAGTAAACATCGTACAACCGCCCACCATCACTGGTAAGTGTTTTACCTCGCAAATAAAAAAATTTGCAGTTATTACATTCTTTTTTTATTCGACAGGAAAAAGAAAACTGGAAAGCTCGGATGCAAATAGAAACCGAAGCAAAAGAGGGAAACCCGAATATCCGAAGAGGGTCGTGACAGTCTTTTGTTATATCACCTGAAAGGCTGAAGATTATCATTGATTCATGGAAAACAACAAAATTGCCCTTTTGCGCAGTCCTCTGCCATCAGGAAAGAGTACTCTTGGGCAGGTGCTTCGAGACAATTTTGCTGGTTGCAATTATGACAGCATATACAGTTGAAGCTTGTTATAATAGAAAGTTGGGCATAGCCCATGAGCACCATTATAACACGAGTCCATAATAACGCGGGTTTGTTATAATGGACTTCTTAATGATTGCATGTGCAATTCCATTATAGCACGAATTTATTTTATACAATTATGCTATAAGTTCACTAATGACTTGTAAGTCAGCTTATTCACAGTCTTTATTGTGGTCAACAAAATAACAATTACATCAATTGTTACATGGTATATGTCATATAAACCCTTCAATACTAAGACTGGAATCCAAACTGAAGAAAAAGCTGAATTTATTTGCAATATGCTACTTCCCAGATAAACTAGAAGTTCGTTTTTCCATTGATATTGATTATGATTCAAATCCTGTTGTCAAGAGTTTTATTAAATCAGGTATCCTCAGCACCCATTATGCAAGTTCACTGCTCCTATAAGTTTAAGATCTCCAGCAAAAACTTTGGTAAAAACCATTGAGTATATGTATATGAGCCCACATAAGTTGTCTGAATTGCTTGGAAGAAGTAGAAGTGGTATCATAGTACTACCCAATGGATGTGTCAATAAATGCAGATGTTGGTCCTGTATTTGACTCTGGATTTCTATGTTAATGGTAAATTGTGTTGGGAAATTATCAGCATTTTGAAATTTCATTAAAACAATGGGTCATTCTTGATTTCCAACATAATTTAAAACAAGTAAGAGGGGTCCTTATAAAACTTTTGGTATGTGCTATACTCAGAGGACTACAAAAATGTTATTATCAAATGTCAGAATTTTGAAGACAAATACCTTATCTTGCAAAGTGATGCATGAAAACAATTGCACAGACCTACAATGTGCTCAAGAAAAACATGGCAAAAATTTGGTTTGTTTTCAAAGGTGCAAGACATTATATGGAAGGAAACACTTGGATCCAAAGCCTGCCTGAAGGCAATGAGCATTCGTATTCTTTGATGTTTTCAAAAAATATATGCATAATTTATTTTCATAACTATATAAATGGTTTGTTTTTGGCCAAATGCTGGCGTGCCCATTTTGTACCTCTCCCTGTTATAGGCAAGAATTTCGCATATATGAATCGTAGATTCGCCCCTAGAGAATCTGCGAAAATTAAGAGTTTTTTGACCAACTGTTCTGTATATGCGCTTTTTTATGCGCGGTTTTATTTGTAGTCACTTTCGCGTTGAATTGTTTTGCGAATTGTTTCTGATCATGAAGTAGAGAAAAAATAGTCGGTGACATGCGGAAATGTCAGCAGAACAATAATAGCAATAGTATATAAGTGCTGATGCAGTAGTGCATTAGTTAGTTTTTTTCCAAAAGATATAAGTAGCGTAGATTTCTGCGTGATGCGTGTTCTAAGTCTTTCGATTCCTCTACTGTAAATATTTCTAATAAACGAGTAGTTTTTATACTTTGAAATACTTTGTTAATAGGATTCATTCCCTGGTATAGTACTGTAGTAGTGAAACCACTAATCCCTATATCGACTAAGAATAATTGCCTCTTGTCTCGCGATTATTCGAGTGGCAAATACGATAATTAATTATTATATTGATACGCATTATTATTGTTATAATTGAAACGCCATTGTCCCCAACCGGAGACTATCGAACGATAGGAACAGTGAGTGACTCGGGGACAAATAATATATCGAGGATTAGTGTCGCTCATCGACATAGTGAGTCGTAAGTGTAAAAAGCCTAGTGTTAAATGTCACTTTTACCCGTTGTGAAATGGTACGAGTTCACTTTCCGTAATTTTATTTCGAATTCGATAGGTTACATTCTAGTGGGTCTCAGTTCTGATTACGTATCGCGTTCAAGTAAATTCTGCAAACTGGCTGATATCGCAGGCTATGACTTTGGCTATGTTTAATTATGATAATTATGTTAGTCCTAACTCAAACCGTTTTCTTAAATTAATAAATATTTGCATTGATTGATTAACTCGATCGTGTCGAGAGCGAGGTAAAAGAATAGTATAATATGGAAATCAACAATTTCGATTATAGCATGTCCCGTCCGTGCGTATGGAACTCGTTATTGTCATCTTTTTGATAAGTTTAAGTTCTCGTCACTAATTTCAGTAATAGCATCCTGCGTTACACGAATTAAACATTTTTGCATATCTTCGCAAGCTCGTTGCATATACTGCAGTTGTTGAAATGGAATTCCCCAAACTGGGCAAAAACTGCTCACTCGCTGGATGTGGACAGCTTGGTAGTTATTGATATACGTAAAATCCGATCATCTGATTTACAAATAACCGCATTAACGCATTAACCTAATTGTATTTATCCGTTGAAGAGACTTTCTGCCGTTCAAATGTGGATGCTGTGGGCTGAACTATTGGTTAGTCTAACGATATAAAAAACTCGAGAGACAAAAAGCCATGGGACATGTCAGATCGAGAATTGAATATTCGTCATTTTTACAAATTTTAGTCTAGATCACCGATATCCAACAGCACACAAATGTCATGCTTGGAATGAGAAACAATTGGTGGGTGAAAATACCGCAGAGTATGCAATATTTTATTAGCCGAAGCAAAGGTACTAAGTGCAAACGTTCAACGACGGGCGACCTCGTTTCAGAGTGTAGATTTGTGTCCAACATGTAAATCTATGATTTTATCACCGAGCGGAATGACCACTGAGGAAACGGTATTATAACTACTCATATTTATATCACTTACGTATACCATCTTCGGTCGATGTACGCTCAATGTTAATATCGATTTCGTATTTTTATTAAAACGATGCTCTTTGTCTATTCTCATAATTCACGACAATTTAAAAGCTAAAATCGCACCAAGCCTCTAATTGTGTGTCACACCTTCTATCCTCCTTCCCTCGCGAATCGAAACGATGTGCCATTAGTTCATGCAAACCTACTACGACTGGCGGGAGATTGCCGATCGTTGTCGTGTGTGATGGATGTGGAGATGGATTCTGTTTGAGGTTCGTTCTTGAGAAAAATTAAGTCGGAAATAGTTAAGAGGGTGTATCAAATCGTAACGAAATGTTGCGTCAACGCGATGGGGATTAAATTAGATTATTCGTTAACTTTAGAGTCAATTCTAGTGTTAAACGATATCTTTTATAACGCATTAGACATCGCCACGCAACTGATCACGGATGTTCGTCAATAAATGCAGCCTCCGAAGAGACAGCTGAGCGCCGTGCTAGAATAGACGAGATTTTAAAACATATTCGGAACAATGCGAATAAAAGTGCTTCTAGTACAGCTATGACACCAAGAACCAACAATAAGCCAAAAAAAACCAGCAAACTCGTTGAACTGATGAAAATGAAATCCAAGGCTACGGTAATTCGACTCTTTCAATTAGTTTATTGATTAACTTGAAACAAGTTTACCAAAGCTAGTACTCTCAAAAATAGGGAGATTCCTCGATTCCACATGAATCACGACTTTACCTGAATGTTGGTTTTCCTAAAGATACTAATGTTACGACCAAGCCTATGTTCTTTGATAAGGTAAAAAGATGTTTATCAACCATTAACTATAAGATATACTAGTAGGGATGCCGAAACGAATGCACATGCTGGTCGTAGTATTTTTTCTAATTATGATAATATGTTATGCAGTCTTGGGTGATCGGAAAGGTGCTTGACAAAATCGCTACTGCTGGTAAGATTAGAAATGTGAATAACAAAATGGATGTTAGTAAGAACGAGGTAAGTAATTAGTGTCACATTTCGTTGTATTTTTGACGGCCCATATTTACAAACTTTATTGTTTGTAGAGACTTATTTTAGTTGATCAAGAAACAAATTCCATTCTCAACGTGGATGACAGACTGGGAGATGCAATTGAAAGTGGTGGGGGAGTGCTGTTAGAACGTGAGGGGGTTATTAATCAGTGAGGAATACATTTGTGAAAACCAGCAAGTATAGTAGCTTAATTTAAAAACTTGAATAATTCAAACCATACCTGTTATTAAAGACGAATGACGCGAAGCTCTGGGTGCGTCGAAGTCACTGGTTGTGAACCTTGAGTACATGTATAATTTTTTTTGGTATGTGAGATTACGTATCCATAATAAAATAAGTTTCAAGCAGATAGTGAATAATAGCAGGTACATTAAATGTGACAGATTAAAAGAAATCGGATTAAAATGAAAATTTAAAAATTTTTTGGGGGCAATTTTCTTGGGATTTGGGATGGGATTTAGGGTAACTTTTGTTAATATTAATAGAAGAGTATATTAATATGTGTGTTTCAGAGGCATTAAAAGAGGATCCAAGAAGACCCCAAATTTCGGTTTAATCCGATTTCTGCCACATTAACAATACGGATATAATCATTTGCGAGTCTTTTGTCAGTTATGACTGGTGTAGTATACTAATATAAACATTACTGTCAATAACCCATTCTCACCAACAAGCTTTTCAAAGACTCAGGGAAACTACACCTTACTATTTTATTTAAAGTCGCCTATTGAAAAGATCAATTGCATGATAAGATGCAACATTTGGCAATTTTACGATGTACTCGCTTCCGTCGTTCCTACAGACTTTGATAAAAGACAAAACTCTAGATCAAGCTATTCAAAGTTTGTGTTTTGTTACTCTGGATGCAAGAATTCGTTCTGTAGGCCAACTCTCTTAGATAACAATCACTTTAAAAACTTCATATTCTTGGATAGTGAAACTACTCGGCATTCCTGTACTGGGGTAATGGCTAGGGTTTGATGACCAATTAGTATTGTTTGCAACCAAGTCTGTTGCACTACCGAAACATGGACCATATGAAGTATGATAATACACAGCGTATACGTTGTTAACGACACGAGAGATCAGTGCGGAGTTGAGGTCATTAATATCTTTGATATGAAACAAGAAACTTCTGTCAGTGTTTCCGTATGATCCGCTGTTGGAAGTCCAATTTAGAGGATTGTAACCTCCGATGACTGCGTTACCCGAGCTAGGCTTACAGACAATCAGCGTCGGCCCCTTATTATCACAGAGATTATGGAATATGGAACTACTGAAGCCATCCCTTGTACCTCGAAGTAACAACTCGTATCGAAGTCTCTTATGCGCAAAATATTTATTTGTGTCGATCCACAAGGAAATTAGGTCAATCTGCAAATCTTTCATGATGAGAGAGTCGATTTTTGTATTGAAAAATTTCGTGCCCGCTCGAGCCGGCTTCCACTGAGGCGATTTGTTATCTGGGGCCATATAATAACGAATAATATCGCCTCTAATATCTTTAGGTATCAATTTTTTGTACGGCATGACGCTCTCACAAAATTCTTGTGGTTGAAAAGAATGATACCTAACATGACGAAGGCATTGATGCAACGTTTTTTCCAGGCTTACGAAATCATCCTTCGTCCAGTTACTGGAATTATTCACCGAAGTTAAGGCGTGATTTTGTGCTACGCCCCATTCTAGAAGCCTGCGCCAGATATATATCTCTGGCAAGATCAAGTCATCTCTCTGAAGAAAATGCTCCAAGATGGACTCTGGTACTTCAAAAAAATCATCACCATCAAACAGAATACTGGGCTGCTTACATATGATGTCGATACAAATATTACGTAAGGGAATAAAAGCTTCGTGGAGCCAGATTCTTTTAAGGATTTTAACTGGATTTTCGCTTAAGAATTCATCTTTCTTCTCTATAATATACTTCTGTATATCATTTAGGAGATCCAGTAGTTCCAATTCGTCCGTAGCCAACAATATATCAAAAACAACTGATGTACGTTGCGAGGCCAAATCGGCCACGCCACTGTACAAATATCTAGAAAATTTAATGATTCAACTTTGCTGTACTCACAAAACAGTCTCGGTTCCCCCTATTATCGTGCGACAACAAACCTCAGAATGAAATCCATAGTGGCAGGAGTCACATTTGGTTTGTTGAGAACATACTTGTCGTCTTCTTTCGTTGCCCATTTTTCACCGAAAGCAGCAGCAAAATAATGTGAACGTGCACATAGAATGAGCGAATGTGCTTTAAACTCTTTGGCCTCTCCGTCTTCACCTACGGAAAGAAGCACGTCATAATGCTTTTCACTATCCAACAAACGTAGCAAATCTTTGCAGACGTCGGACATGGTTAAGTATGTTCTCACCGGTTCATCAAGGCAATTCCGTTCCGGAAATAGCTGTGCGACAAGAAGGATAATGAGAGAATTAGTCACATTCTGTATCACAAGTCATATTCGCCACAAAGACTTGGTGAATCATCACATAAACAACATAGCATGCCTAATCCAATAATTACGATAACCCTATCCGTATTTGTTCTTCTCTCTTTTTCAGGGATTCCAATATGAACTAACTATTTCAAGAAGAGCAACTGTTCCGATATGACACCGATCTCTGCGCTTCTTACCTATATCACAATACATGTTAGTCATTTGTTAATCAAAATCAATTAGCATCATCAAAATCATAATTAACCTCTTCGCATTGCCCCTTGTGGTGTAGCTTAATAACTGTTTTGGATTTCAAGACTTATTTTTGATATAACTTTTGACTCGATTATTCACTGTATCAGCAAGTATGATTGTTTATTCATGCTGGTTCTTTCGGCGCCAGATATTGTAAAGTCAGAGTTCTTGAAAGAGTACTACCGGCGAAAGACAATTGTGTTATGAATATTGTAGGACTTGGAGAATGTAGAACTGATGACAATTCTATGCTAATTTTGATATCACGTGATTTGGTTCCGTGTGGTCAGCAAGAGAAAAACTTGTTGTCATTTATTACTATTATCATCATCATTCTATCCGTGACTGCGAGAAGGTTCGATATTGAACCAAAGCAAGGAGAGAGTGGATAACTCGTACGTGTTGTTCATATATCAATATCGTATGCTAATTAATACAGTAATAAATGTGACAGATTAAAACGAAATCGGATTAAAATGAAAATTTTCTAGGGCTTTATAAATAATATTCTTATTTGCATCACGTGACAAACGTAATATTTGATTTGCATAATACCCGGGGGTCTTTTCAGCCTAAACTGTTTATACATGGGGGTCTTTTAGTCAGTGCTCTACGGTAATTTTTTGTTGTGCATTTATCGGCTTGCCGTCCTTCGTAGCAGGTGCGTGATTGGAAGGCTAAGAAAGATTTATTAACGTAATTGTTTCATAAACTTGCCATAAGAAATCCCTTAGTTCCTGTAGTTATCGTTACAGACGAACATTCTTTGTCTTATACAAGACAATAGTATCTTATCATGTGTTTTACAACAGCTCCCACATTTAAATCGCGAGGGTGCCACCATTTACTTAAAATAAATCATTTATCGTGACGAATTTTTAGTGTTCTATTTTTTAATAACATAGTTAAATCGTACGTTACCAACCAAAGGTAGTGGATGTCTATTCCAACAATACGCAGCCTTCAACATTAGCTAACGCCTTAATCGAAGCGGTGGCAAGGTCGTATTTGAAGCTAACCCCGCGATCACAGTCAAGATGATCAAAAAGACGTATTGTTTCGAACGTGATTTTGTGATTGATAAAAGTGTGCAACATACAACATCTATATTTTGCGAATTTGGGAAATCGACAATGATCAAAAGACTGATTTCCCTAATACTAATCCTGTAATCACAGTTTTGAAAATATAGTACACTCGATATAACAAAGGGCACGGTTTCAACCATTTCCTCCGCTAAATCAATAGTTCGCGATATACCGGATATTTTAATAAATTACATGAGTCTCCGTTATACTAACAAGTCATTATAGAATCAAGATTCGTTTAAAAGCAAATTTATTACAGATTCAATTGACACTAAAATTCACAAATCCTTCCAATGTAGTTTGTTTCTTCTATTTAATACTTTTGTAATGGATTTTCTGAGATAATATAACTCCTTCATTAATGACGCGCTAACTTCTAAATTATTCTGTTGAACATATTTCACCACATTATCAAGTCCTACGATTGCATCGTTGACAATTTTTTTGCTTCTTGCGGCTCCAAAATTTTCATCTTGATTTGTCATCGCGGAGGGGAGGGATATCAGCTTTACTCCAGCTACGTTTAATTGCGTTCATTGTAATGTTTTCCCACATAAGAGCTACAAAGTTAAATTCGCTTTGAAGCAGATTGTTTATGATCGTTCGTTTGTTATACTCGAATAAATTGATACAATTTGATTGGCCAGTATGGATCGCATATTTTATTGTAACTGACATATCAGTTCCGATATAAAATCTCCGTACTAAGCGATATCCGTTATATTGAAGGTCCGTTATATCGAGTTTCACTGTATACGATGGAGATGCAATTGAAAGTAGTGGGGGAATGCTGTTAGTAGTTAATAGTTTGAAGACATTAAAAACCCGAGAAAAAGCTCGGGGTGCATCTCGATCATTGATTGTGGTTGCATGTAGAGTTTTTAAAATGTGGGATTACATATCCGTAGTAAAATGAGTTTTACTTTTTCTCGAGTAGCCGAAGGGTTATTTTGGCGTAAAACATAATGAGATTTGTGCAAAATTGGTCATTTAATGAACGGATATAATTATTGCGAGTCTTTTGTCTTGGGTATTAATTGTCAGTTTATAGTATATAAATATAAATGTTAATTTACCGTCAATAATCCAAAATTTGTATTTTGTTACTCTGGATGCGATAATTGAAAGAATCGCAACTCTTAGCTAATCACTTTAAAAACTTCATATTCTTGGATAGTGAAACTACTAGGTATCCCTATATCGGGATAATAATTAGAGCTTGATGACCAATCAGTATTGTTTGCAACTAAGTCTTTTCCCCCATTGCCAAAACATGGACCATATGAAGTATTATAATATACAGCATATGAGTGGTTTGTGACACGAGCGATCCGTGCGGAATTAAGGTTATTAATATGGTTGATATGGAACAAGAAACTTCTGTCGGTGTTTCCGTATGTTCCGTTGTCAGAGATCCAATTCAAAGGATTGTAACCTCCGATAATTGCATTACCCGAGCTAGGCTTACAGACAATCAACGTCGGCCCCTTATAGTCACAGAGATTGTGGAATGTGGCATTATCGAAGCCATCCCTTGTACCTCGAAGTAATAATTCGTATCAAAATCTCTTACGCGTAAAATATTTGTCTGTGTCGATCCACGAGGAAATTAGGTCAAACTTTGTTCTTTTTATGATAACAGAGTCGCAATATTTTGTGCCTGTTCGAGGCTTCCATTGAGACATACTCGTTTCTGGGACTATATAATACTGAATGACATCGTCCCTAATATCTTTAGGGATCAATTTTCTGTACGGCATAACGCTCTCACAGAATTCTTTCAGTTCGAAATTGTAATATCTAATATGACGAAGACATTGACGCAACGTCTTTTCTAGGGTTACAAAATTTTCCTTCGTCCAGCTGCTAATATTGCTCGTCAAAGTTAACTCGTGGTTTTGTGCTATGCCCCACTCTAGCAGCCTGCGCCAGATAAATACTTCTGGTAAGCCCAAGTCATCTCTTTGAAGAAAGTGTATTAAGATGGATTCTGGTATTTCACAAAACTCACCACAATCAAACAGAATACTGGCTGTTTACAGATGATGTCGATACAAATATTACGTAAAGGAATAAAAGCTTCGTGAAGCCAGATTTTCCCAAGAATTTTAACCGGATTATCGCTCAAGAATTCATCTTTCTTCTCTATAATGTACTGCTGTGTATCATTCAATAGCTCCAATAATTCCAACTCGTCTGTAGCCATCAATACATCAAAAATAACTGATGCACGTTGAGAGGCAAAATCGACCACGCCACCGTACAAATATCTAGATAAATTAATTGTTTGAATGTTAAGCGGTTATTGCTGTATTCGCAAAACAGTCATAATCAGGAATTTATCCGACGTGCTACACATCGAAATATTTCCTTTTTCACCGAAACCCCAAGTTGTCTATTTGTCCTAAAACAGAAATATTTTGCTAACGGATGTGAGTAACATATCGGATATTCCCAGCTTCCCTATTATTGCGCGACAACAAACCTCAGAATAAAATCCATAGTGGCAGGAGTCACATTTGGTTTGTTGAGAATATACTTGTTATCTTCTTTCTTTGCCCATTCTTCACCAAAAGCAGCAAAATAAGTCGAACGTGCACATAGAATGTGCGAATGTGCTTTGAACTCTTTTGTATGTCCTTCCTCACCCACGCAGAGAAGAACATCGTAATTCTTTTCGCTATCCAACAAACGCAGCAAATCTCTGCAGACTGTAGACATGATTAAGTGAAAGATTGTAGTTCTCCACACTCGATGACTTGTAACGAACATTCACGTGAACACAAACTATTGTGTGTGACAAATAACCGCTTTAGGGTATCAATGATGTTCTAGAACTAGTGGCATAGTCATGGCGCAAAAAAGTGTCGGTCCCGTGATACATGCCTACTGTTTATTGGTGGAAAAACTTTCGGACTGTCCTCTAAGTCCGGATGTTTACATCTTACGGATATGGGTATTAGCGTAACCTCAGAATCAAGGGGAGGTTTCTTTATTTGGATTGGGGTCTTTTACAAATGTAAACAAACTGATATCTGCTACAAGACGAAGTATTCGCTCCAAAGAATAACTAGCTGTACAGCAGTGTGTGTTGATTCATGATGGATCATAGCGATGCAAACGAATAGAACGAATGTTGCTTTTTACGTGACAAGTCGTCACTATGTAAAATAATATTAGGATCGGAAAGTTTATGATCTAGAAAAGGATGGCTATGGTGTGGGGAGGAAGCAAGATAGTTATGTTTTAGTCAATAAGCAAACGAGTAGTATAGTGATATTACCATAAAAACTACTATGATGATAAAATTTAACACATAGTAATAGTAATAGTAAATGGACTTTAGCTCAAAAAGTTATACGACTATTTGTAAAAAACCCCTCCCCCTGATTCCGGGGTTACGCTAATATCCATATCCGTAAAATGTAAACATCCGGACAGTCCGAAAGTTTTTCCACCAATAAACAGTAGGCAGGAATCACGGGACCGACACTTTTTTGCGCCATGACTATGCCACTATTCTAGAACCATACCCATCTTACCGAATTAGCATTTGCCCGCCAACGCTAGCGACTAAAACTATTTGAGTTAAAGAATGTTTCAGTCAAATAAAAAAATAATAAACGCTGAATTTGAAATGATGAAGATATAACCAAGAGGAAGAAAGTGGTGAAAAGCCGAAAAAAAAGAAGTCGAATCAATGGAAGAGGTTGAGATAATAAGTAACAAAGTAGCAGAAGAGTCGATAAACACAGTCTTAAAGTTCTTATACCTGAATTTGGTGAGGTCGATGAAGAAGTAAAAGTTTTGAGAAGGTTAAACAGACGAATCGGACTAATTATTCAAAAAAAAAATCTTAAACAACCAAATATCACTATTATTTTGAGGACAACTGGCTTTGCAACTTTGCATTTACTTTGTTTTATCTTCGTAAAGCTTAATTCGATAGTTATTTTATCATTTTATTTTGATAAGTTTATATTTTATTGCTATAACATTTATTTACGTTTATGTGTCCTTATCACAAATAGAATATTGTTGCAAATCTCTAAGTAAATTTGTTACCTGAATATGAATTAAAACCACTGGTAATAACAAACGAAAATTCTTGTTAGACTCAAATATGCATTTTTAGTTTAGTAGTACAAGAAATTTTATTAGTTAATATAATGCTTTAACTTTTCAGCCGACTCATCTAAACAACGAATTATATCACGCATGTGTCTCATATTACTAAAAGAATCTAGGAGGGAGAAATCATGGACCCAGAGCAATACGACCAATTATACCAAGAAGTGAAGGACCAAAAGAAGCGATCAACAGCATACAAAATCAGAAACAATTACCTTTTCGTGAAGCATAATGATTGGAAGCAAGTTATCAAGAAACCAGACCAAGAAGAAATAATCAGAGCAATTCACGATCAAGCACACAGTGGAAAAAGAAGAACTCTAAGCGAAATCAAAGAACTCTATTGGTGGCCAGGCATGATGAATCATGTTACTGAATACATTGAGTCCTGTGATTCTTGCCAAAGAGATTCAAGACCAAAGCACAAATATCCACTGCAGCCGATACCAGTTTCAGCACCATGGGAAATAGTGGGAATAGACCATGTTGGACCTTTAGAGAAATCAAAAGGCAAATATGAGTATCTAATTGTAGCCCAAGACTATCTAACAAAATGGCCAATAGCAGAACCAACCAGAACCACAAATACTGAAGAAGCCCTCAAATTCGTAAGGGATTGAATAATGACAGTGTTTGGATGTCCTAAACAAATCATCTCAGACCAAGGCGCTGCTTTTACCAGTAAACTGTGGAAA